TTTGTTAACTAGTAGTCAAACATAGAAAGGGAAATTTAAAATCCTAAACATTCTAGCAAGAGATTGGGGTGTTGGAGTATCACTTGTGAGTTGTCCCACATTGATTCTATAGAGAAAATGAGCCTAATATATAAGCCAAGTGGGTTACTCCTCTCATCACCAATTGGTTTTGGCATATAACCTCACTATGGTGCACCTAGGCTCACCCTTTTATGGTGCGCTTAATATGCATGAGAACAAAGAGAAATAAACTAAGCCTAACACAGCTAGAAGCTAAAGTTGAAATACCAATTGTAAAATAATCGACCTTTTATCAAAGTCACAACTTTTACCTCGAAAGATTCAAGCTTTAACAAATTACTAATTGCCCTAGGCAAGCAAAATAAGACAAAAGATGAAAACATTAACTAAAATCGAACCTAACACATAAATTTTGGCCAAGAAACTATTTTTCAAGATTCTAAAAACTGAACTGGACTGGCCGGTTTGATCGCTTCAACTAGGAACCGCCTAGCACACCGATTTGGTTTGAGCTTATAGAACTGCTGGGACCCAAAACCGACTACAAAACGTTGAACCGGTTAAGCTGGTAAACCGGTAGTAGTCGTGCGGCCAGTGGTTCAGTTTCTGAGCTTTGCAAAGAAGTGACTGTAAAATCATTTATATAGCATACTTTTTTTCTTAGTGTATCCGATGTGAGGTATGTTTACAATAAATATATTTCCTGAAATTATCGGGCCATTATTGGTTGGGTCTTACATGCAAAAGTGGACTCATTAAAAGTAATAGATACTACTAGTCTATTATTGAATTGAGATGTATTTATGGTTTCGACCGTCCAAGGTCGTCCAAGCCCAGCCTAAGGGTCAAGGTTCAAGGCCCAGGCCTATGCCGAGCCGGCTGGAGTGCGTGTGTGGCTAAGGTTAGCATCAACACTTAATTCATAGTTTAGTTGTTGTGACCTCTTCAGCCCGCTTCCTCGGATTTCAGTCGAGACTCATTTTGCTCTCTTTGTTTATTTGAAAAAGAAAAATCCGAAATCCCACTATAGTAATCCCAATAAAAAGAGAAAATGTGCGAAAGGAAGAATGAAAAGAAGTCCCTGACAAAGTCACTTCTGATTGCTAAAAAGAGGATTGAGATTTAACTTAAATAAAGGGTAGGGCAATTATCATCGCGCCTTCACCCCCCACATACTCCTCTATTCAACTATTTAAATTCCGGCTCTAAGCTTCCCCTTTACTTTAGTGCCTGCTGAGACTTCTTTCCTCTATTATAATAAAGAAAGTACACTCATTTAAAGTCGAATGTGGAATAGACTAATGTGGAATAAGACTTTTGACTTTTCAAATCTCACAACTAACATTTGACGTGTTCATAGGCTAACTTGAGGGAAAGCCAATTTTGAAAAAATAAATAGAATAAGTATTTACTCGTAACATAAAATTTTTCTGCACAATTTAACTCAATTTTTATTAAATATTTAATTATAAAAAGTCACTCAATCGAGTCAAACCCAATTTTTTATAAAACAATATTCTGATGTATGTATCCGGTTTCACTTTTCGTCACACCATCTTCCTCCAATCATCAACCTTTTCTGAGGAAATGGCTTTTCATTTCTATTATAGATTGTCCTATATAAGTGTACTTCTATTTGTCACATAAATGACACTTTACAAAAGTGGGGTCAAATTAAAGATATTCTCGACTCTTGAGTTATCATATGTGTTTTTCTTTTAAGCAAGAAATGTAATATTTTTATTCCATTTTAGTGTTTGCTTTTGTTAACACCCATAGAGTTGCATTCTATATCACTCAACTAGGGATGTACGATCGATTGAAAGCGAACCGAGCCAACCGAATTTTTGGTTAACAGAAATTTCGGTTTATTCAAACTCAAACAGAAATATATGTTTTTGTTCTGTTCCAAACCAAATTCCAATGGTTTGATCAGTTCGGTTGTCGATTAGCTCATAAAATGGAGAAGTGACAAAAAAAAATTTACAATTTGTGAGTTACAATTTACAAAAAAGACAATTGTTAACTACTTAATAATTTTACCGAATCAACCATAAGGAGAAAAAAACAACTTGTCCCAATAATACAAGTTTATCAAGCCTCATACATCACATTAAGTTCATTAGGCATAAAAATTGAAAAGAACAATTCTCGGTCACTCACAGATGATAATGATAATGATAATGATAATAATAATAATAATAATAATAATAATAATAATAATAATAATAATTACAAACTTGTCAAAAAGTCTATTTTACATTTAATATTATTTTATATTTTAATGTAGCATTATTTTACGTTTAGTATATTTTATGATTGAGTTCCCGAAATTAATCTAGCATTATTTTACACTAGTACAGCGCCCGTGTATTACACGGGTGTGTGCTAATTTTTTCTTAAAATATAAAATTAATGAGAAAAATAGGTGAAAATCTAAATACCTTTTATAAATATATATATTATTATATAGTTAGTATGACACTTTTTATTTGTGCGACTTACATGTGTTATACTGTAATAATTTTTTTAACTTACAACAAATAACTATATTAAACATAAATATATCAATTGATAAATAATTTTATTTTTCTAATGATTCTAATAAATATTATTATTTTTTATTATTATAAAGATAATTGTAATTTATTTATTTCATATACAATATGGATGTCAAATCGAAGATCATCAAAAGATGATTCATTTGATATATTATATATGTAAAACCGATAAGAAATACAAAAGTTATCAACTTTTAATGTACATTTATAATTCAATAGTTAATTGAAGGAAACAAATCAAAAGTCAGGGATACATTAGTCACTTAGTGTCTCACTATGTAAAATACAAAGAATTAAAGGGTTATATTAGTACAATTGATATTAAAATACCTAAGTTAGCTAAATAATATTTATGGAATGTCCAAACCTAAATTTTATTATTTATTAATATATCAATATTATTTGTCCAAACCTAATTACGAAGCATGATTCTTCGCCAAGTAGGATTACGAAGCACCAGAAGTAGCCACGTAGGCTCAGCGCATTTTGGAATTATATATAGGGGGGATTTTACTCATTTAGAATCTAAATCAGGTTTGATATATTTTCTTATTTAAAAAAGGAGAGCTAGTGGGCTTGGGGACGGGCTTATATTTTCTTCCAAATACTTTATACAAATGGGCCTATAGAATGGGCTTGGGTGGGTAGATAATATATAACTTATATGATAATATATAACTTATATAGAGTATCGATTTTTTGTTCGATTTGGTTAACCAATGATTAATACCAAATCGAACTGAAACCCAAAATAATAATGATAAAAAAAACATAAATCAAACTGAATCGAATATTTGGTTTCCATTTCGATCCAAATTGGATTTCCAGTTTCGTCGATTTGGCTTGGTTAACCGTGGTTTGATCACCCCTACACTCAACCATACAATTATTGTAAAAAGAGAAAATAAAAACCTCCTCATCCAAAGAAAACACCCCCAGTTCGCAGCAAACCCTCCTAATTATCTTCCTCGGCGTGCCTCCTCCCCGGCAAATGCTCCGCACCCTTGATGTCGACCAACACCTGGGATGACCTAGGTCCGACTGTGATAGCTTAGCTAGGCTCTCGATTCCTCTTTTTGCGAGGGTGTCACCCTCTTCCAGGTTTCCATGGCAGGAGTACGAGGTCTGAAGGCTTCAGTGATCTTAGGGTGGTGGACGTCGTTTGCAGCCAGCGGCTGTCGGGGCGAAGGTCAGCAACTTGGTCTTCCACTGTTTCGACCTATCCCTAGTGTTGGTATGGCAAGTTCCTATGACAGTGGTGGCGATGCGGCTTCCGGTATTTCCGTGTGGAGGGTTGTGGTGCGAGCCTCCCAGAGTTGACCTGTGGAGAGGGTTACGGGCCCGTTGGTCTAGATCTAGTTTGTTGTAGAGGAGTTTCTATATCCGGTGTGTTGGGTCGTAGACCGCGTTGCTTCTTTTCGATTGATCGTTGGATCGAGTTGTGGTAGTGCTGAGTGTTTTTCGACTGGGCGGGAAGGCCTTAGTCTAGTCTAAGTTGTTTTCTTTGTTGTTTGTGTTTTAGGTCTTTTCCTATTTTTGGTATTGGTTTGTAGTTTTATTCTCCTCTTTAGGAACTTTATTCTCCCTTTTGGAAGGTTTTATTCTCCACTTGTGGAAGTTTTAATTTTTTGTATGTTATGTTTAGGGTTGTATTGTAGATTTTATGCTACCTTTGGTAAACCTCCAATCTGAATACAGTTATGTAACTGATTCATTCAACTAGTTAGCCGTTTGTAAATATGTATTTTTATTAATGAACTCTATCATTCCAAAAAAAAAAAGAAAAGGAAAAACCATTTTAAATATTTACGGTTTATATCTAGGTTGGAACTTGAAAGAGGTCGGGTTGAAATGTGCCTCCTAAGTAAGTTATCATTCATTAAACATTCCTTCACATCAATTCTTTTACATCGCCGTCTAAGTCTAACCATTAGTCAGGTCAACCCATCATATTTGAATTACATACTTATACTACGAAATGCTATAACTTTATCTACGATAAATGTGTTATTTTAAGGTATATCATTTCATTATAAAAGTGTTAATTTGTTGCAAAACCACTTACTACTGGATCGGCAGAAACGTATGATGATGAGCATTTTACTAACGGATTAAACATTCATCCAACAAACACTTAAATAGACAAACTATCTATAGACGTCAATGAGCTAATCACAAGCATATAAAAGACCAAGGGCTAATTGAACTTGTGCTTGCTGATTAGTAAATAAATATGAGCTCAAGACTTGGTTTGCCCCCAAAATGTCATCATATTTTATTAATCTGAACTGGATTGGTGAAAAAAATGATGAATCACTAAACATAAAATATGTGCTTAGAGAATGATTAATAAAAAAAAAATAATATTGAAGTAGCATTTATTAAACCTGCACAAAACTTTATTTTCCTGATTCGTTTTCACTTCCGAGCTGCGTGGTAGAGTTCCAAGTAATCGAGAGCCGGCCGATTCCATGACCAATCTTGCTCCATAACACGCTTGCACAACGAATCGAACCACTCTCTTCCATCATACCAAGCAGATATTGCTCTAACAAACAAATATAAACTCGTACATAAGTCGATTAATTACTGCAATTCTCTTCTTTGGATAAAAGAAAATTACTAATGGATATCACGATGGTTTTTCAGGTCATGTTAAGTTCTTTTATTTCGAAAAAAATTACTGGTGAGATGGGCGGAATGTTGTGTCTTGCGGTTTAAAAATAAATAAATAAGAATAAATCATTTGAGTCTATAAAATATAGAAATCGAGCCGAATTACCTATTCAGAGCATAATCTACACCAGCAGCATCTGCACTGTCGAAACTAAATCCATTCGGCTCAAGACCACATGCTTGTGCTCTCTCTTTATCATGGTCAACATCGAACACAGTATCATATAGACCTGTACCGAAAATTCACATAGTTGATACTAAAAAAAATCGAAGAAAAAAAAAACATAATCAATCAAGCTCAATTTCAACAGTGGTTTATTTTATGGGTTGCTAGAATTATGCTGAGGCATTTGTACCCATTAGCTATTTATTTAGCTTCCTTCATTAAAACCACATAAATTATATGATGTGACTAATCAGAAACACATCTTTACTTTTCTTCATGATTAATAAATTATCTGTAGAGATGAAAATTTACTGTGCTACAATAGCTAAAATATCTAAAGATCGCTTGAGATAATATTTTTACTCACCTCCAGTTTTGCGAACAACTGGAATCGAACCGTATCTCATTGCCGTGAGCTGAGTCAGCCCGCACGGTTCAAATATTGACGGGACAAGAATGAAATCAGCACCCGCATATATCTGCACCATCATGATGTCAATAATTAAAGGGATACTCTAAATTTACAGAAAATTATTGACCATTTAGAAACTCTTGAAGACAATAGCTAAAAACCCTGAAAAATAACACTAAAGAAACTGAAAACTATACCCTACAAAATGCTGGAAAAAAACCCCTAAAAATGGAAAAAAACAAAATATTACTTTATCAGTTGTTTTCTAGATTTTGATTCAATCAGATGGAAAGCCGTATGTTTTAACCATTGTTAAAAAGTCCACTATCTCCTTATCAACCTATATTAGAAAATGAAAAGGTTTAATTTTATGACAAAATACCAAATGCGAGAGAGGCTCATCATATGTGAGGCACAAGCGTGCTCGGTCATTATGTGAAGAATGCAACTGGTTTGCCAAATTAACAAAATCATTCTGAATCCGAGGATCAGGAGCCGAACCCAACAGGACAACCTATAAAAAAATGAAGTGCGCCGATTAGCAATAATAAAACTGGCAAAAAAAAAAAACTATTCGAGAGAGAAATAAGAGACAAACTTGTCCATTCCGTTCCAAGGATCGCCAGATGGCGTGTTTGATGAGATGGATTCCTTTCTGGTGAGTCAACCGGGTAATGATCCCCACCAATGGCAGGTCAGCCCGTTTGAGCCCGAGAATTTGCTGCAAAGCTTCTTTTGCGGCCCGTTTGCCTTCAACAACATTTTCTGATGTATAATGCAACTGCAAAAGCATGTACACAATGGGTTAAAAAATTTGAGTAAAAGCAATAGCAGAGCCAGAAGCTTTTTTATTACAACTAGCATCGAAACAACAGATCTTTCTTTAAGAGAATAATAACCAAAAGAAAGTTGATACAAACTTACAGGGATGAATTTGTCATTGTAAGGATCCCATATATCTGGGTCAATTCCATTGAGAATACCATGAAACTTGTAAAGGTGAGGGGCAATTGCGGGATTTCCAGAAACCTCCTGTGAATAAGTAGGTGATACCTGCAGGGTATGATCAAAATGTTTAGGGCGTGATTGGATATAAAAATTTTCATGTCATACTCGATGCAACTCAAAATCGAACTCAGCTTTATCTCAACCCCACTATCCTCAACATCATAAATATAATTAAATAATATAAATTAATCATTTTACGCCTCATATCAACTTAATTCATCCCTAACATAATTTAACTAACCATCACTTCACATCATCTCTTTCCTACTTTTATACCAAATCAACTTTAATTATTATTTTTTAAATATTGTTTTAATATAAACACAAAATCCCAATAACAATTATCCATACCACATCTTTCCAAATAAACTCCGGTTAACAAAAAAAAAACATTGTGAGCATAAATTTTTGTATCCAAGCACGCCCTTAATGTTGAGACACTTGCTAAAATGCTCGATCACAAAAACCAATAAAGCAAGTCTGTGGGAATTACTTCAGCGAGTCCTGCAAGAACTTACAGTTGTAGCCTTGTCTGAAAATGACATGGCTTTCCCGATCAAGGCTGCTCCAAATTCAAGATTGTGTATGGTAAAGACAACACGGGTTTTACTGAGGCCATAATGCATATATTGTTCCTTAAACAACCATGAAACTGGAGCACTGGACCAATCGTGACAATGAATGATATCCTGGAAATAAGATTTTGCACAAGAATAAACTTTTTGGTCAAAAAAAGAAAAAAATAATGTCGAACTTCAAATCATAGCAGCCAAAATTGTGTTTGAAGCACTAAATGAGATTAAAACCGATGAGAATGCATTTTTCCTGATAAAAGTAACTGAACAGATTGCCAGTTTAATGGAATAGTTGAATTTTAAATGAAGAATTTGATTTTAACAGCTGAAATTTGATTTTAACGGCTGAAAAACATGTGGCATCAAGAGTCAAGAAGAAATCAGATAGTGAAATGAGTAAATGACAGCTATGACTAACAAGTGAATATTTTTAATGTCAATTAGAGCTTACGGGACGAAATCCACTTTGTAAAAGGAACTCAAGAGCTGCATGACAAAAGAAACCGAATCTCTCTCCGTCGTTACCACGTCCATAAATGCAACCAACCGAAAATAATCTGTAAGAAAAGCATGCACAACTTCAAGTCGTGTAAACTAGAGTTTCCCATGCATATTAGTTAGATATTATATTCTGGATTCTCCACATATCAAATTACAACATGAAGGCTCCACATGCTCGAAAAAAGGTGAGACAATTTTCTTATTGGTGAATTATTGATTAGTTGATCCACAAAAGCTAATAAATCTATTCGCTATAATTATGCATGGGGGTTTTGATAATGGTGAATTATGATTAATGATAGTCGATCTATAATGGAAGTCATCTGAAATGAGGAGCCACATATTTTGCAAACCTGTTCAATTGTAGCTTATGCCTTGTAAACACCCAAAAAAACTTCCACAAAAAGCAGTTGATTGGCAACTTTAGTGCAACGGAGAAATATTGATAAGTGCTTGTTGTGTTTCTAAATGATCAGCAGCTTAACCAAAAAAAAAACCACCCTTAATTATACGATAAAAGTAGTAGCCAGCAGATCAGCACTAATGATTTACCCATTTTGCGGCTCCAGAAAGTAGACAGAGAGACCTTCCACCTTCCCAAACCAAACTTTAATTTCAGTCCCACTCCATGAGTAGCTCTTATGAAACTGCAAATCCTTCACCTATGACATGCACAGTTGAGCTGATTAATGAGTGACTAGAATCCTCAAGTGATTATCAGTCCCCACATGTTACTTTCAGGTTTACTTCTTACTAGTCTGAGCCAAATAAAATTTCAAAAAAAAAAGAAAAGAAAAAAAAAAAAAGAGATGGCAGGGGAAGAAAAAGTAACAGAATGAACTGTCCATGCATGGATTTTGCTTCAACAACTAATCCATTGCAAAATAATATGCCAAAGCCGAGTAAAGCTGTATGCATTTCCCAAAACACAAATTCCGACAAAATTCAAGAAATGTGAGCAGACTGTCCAAGAAAAACTAACACTCACATTGCTGAAATTCAAACAATCATATTTTGGAAGGATAACATCCACATTGTGGTTCATGTCCTGAACAGCTCGGGAAAGACTAGTGACGACATCACCAAGACCACCCACCTACACAAATAGAATGAAGAAAAATCATGTATATATATATTTCAATAGAGAATAGGATGAGAAAATACATTGATATAGCTTGTATTCATTAACAAAGCCTGCAAATTGCTAAACAAATTTAACATCAATTTTCACAAAATTCTGAACGAAGAGAAAATAATACTAGAACAAAAAATGTATATCCCCTAAGAAAATTCATGTTATCAAGCTCTAAATTTTAGATGCAAATAATTTGCATAGGTGAATGACATCAACAAAATGAAAGCATTATCAAGCTATTTACACACCTTC